CAGGGCCGAGGGGAGGGGCGAAGTACCGCCGCCCAACCGAAGATTCTGTTCGCGACAGCTCCGAACTCACCAGCGATAGAAAGCTGAAACTTGGCATACCTGACTTTTGACTCAAGTCGAATCTTGTGACACCAACTACATTTTTAGGTCAGGTCAGTTCACGGACCAATGACGTCATAAGTGAACCTCTGCACGATCCTCAGATGTCGCAACTTCGCAAAGCCCTCAATGCCAGAGCAGCTTTCACATGGAGATGAAACTTACAGAACCTAATATCCTCCAGAGGGTTCACAGTTTGTATGTCTCGGATTTTCCCTAAAGGTCACATGAGGTCAGGTCGATCACATGACCTCACCATTGCGATTTGCGAGTCAATGTTGTAAAATGAACACTGCTATTTTGGCGCCGGGAACGATATCAAACTAGTTCAAGCTTTACTTTTGCAAGGTCCGATGCTTTACTTTTGCATTGTTGAACTTGCGTGACGTCATTTATGACGTCACTGTGATCTGATCATTATAGTTTTTGGTCCATAACTCCCCAACAAATTGAGCTAGCGTTTCAGGCAAGCCACTAATGAACTCAGGAAGACCTGCCGAATTGAATGGTATGCAATTTGACCTCCTTCGACCATTTTCGTGACCTGGGAACTCTGACCTAAAAAACTTACAATCGGGTAAGGTAGAAATGGCTTCCGTTCGGGGAGAGCAGCATGCCCATGCGTTGCACCGAAGTTCTAACTCATTTAGAGGCCAAACGGAAAACGAAATTCCTACTCCTTCCTTTAACTCCGTTAGCGTACATTCATTTCGCAACTTTGAATCCCAATCACCAAACATAAGCGTTACGTTGTAGGTAGACACGATACTAGGCACTAGCTAAAGCTATAGTCTGTTCCATATCAAGCTTGCAGTCGGAGTTTCTTTGGCAGATCGCTCCTCCGCTCAAGAATTTGCGTCTTCAAATGCAAGAGATATATCTACAGAAATCACGCACTGCCTTCAGCAGGGCACTTCGGCTGCAAACTTGAAACGGAACAGAGCATAGTTACTTGTAGAACATGTGATCGGAACGTTCAAACAACCACGATTTTTCGCAAATCATGGTCTCCTCTTTTTTGCTTTGCAATTGCAAAAAAGCTTTGCTTACATGCAATTTCAGCGCTAAACCATTTCCATTTCACCGATAATTACCTTCTTCCTAAAACACGATAATTTGCGATCTCCTGAAATGTGGTAGTCTGTTGGTACTATTTTCCCCCAAACAGACCAGTCTGAAAGCGCCTTTGCAACAATGTTTTCTTTGCAAAACCAGCTCACGTGGTTTGCGATCAAGTGGTTCATCCGTAACTGACGCTAGTTGAGAAGTAAGTCATAACACAGACAACACTGTATATGTTTTTGTTAAGCATCTTCTGTCCTGTGTTAAGCCTATGGGGAAAAGGCATTGCTCGCTCTCTTGCACGTTGCAAAGAAAACCTGATTACTTCTGATGCAAACACTTATATCAGTTGAAGCGCAATGAAACTAGGCACAAAATAAGGGGTTTAAAGATGACTGGTTTTGAGTCTAACTCAAGATATAACTCATGAAGTGCTAGGATAGCGAAATCGCCTACTGTGCAGTGTTTTTTTTTTTTTTACATAACATGTTTTCTTTTATTTTGCCTGGAAGCAATACCCTGGTCTTTTTCGCTTGCCTTTTTGTTCTGAAGTGAGTTTTAAATTGCTTGTTTATTTGCTTCCAATCGTCATATCATCGGCCAAACACTAAGATGGCATTCCGAATTCCGTGTAACTAGTTTCATAGATTGATGATATCACAAACAAGTCGAGGTGTTGAAGGTGGCACTGTCTTTTAATAAGCCAGTGTCGGTTTGGCTAATGATGTTCCCTTGTAAGGCATCACAAGCTGCTTATTAAAACGCGATCGTAGTATCGCAGCTGGGCTGGTGGGCGCTCATTTTTGCTGGTGGTCTCCTTGTTCGAAGCCTTGTTTAAGTTGTTTGAGAGATCAAATGGGCGGAGAACGGCGCTCGTGACATTCCTGTCTATTTCTCACAGTTGATTGGTGAGTAACTCGTGGAAATAGTCCGCCGTTGATGTCTTGATGTACTGCTCCAGTCACGCTTAACATCTGGCTGACATGCCAACCCCTTGCATGCTATTACAGTTGTATCCACAGAAGTTGTTTCATTTATTGATCGTAAGCTGAATTCAGGCCCTCGTCTGCTCTAATGAATGTTTCGCAAATTGCTATAGATTAAGCAGTTGGCGGAGCTCCATTTGAATGCCTGTTTATGAAATGCTGATTGCTGGCGAAGGTTAAACATCTGGCTGTCATTAGCGCTTGTCTGGAAATTGTATCGCTCTAAACGGTGCGTCATACCTTCGTTCGCTCTCATTGCTGAATAGCCCCGCGCCGAACAGTGCACATGATCTACCTGGATATGGTTTGCCATCGTGCATCCTGGGACGAACGCCATGCTGCGTTTGTCAGTTCTTCCTGTCTCTAAGTTCAGTTTTTCCTTCCGGCCATCATCAAGGCAGTGAACTGGCGATGCATGAAATTGTACTGCGAATATCGCTAAAACTGGTGTGTCACGCCGGACGGGAGCTGATGCCAGACAGGCTGAATTGCCGGCCGTTGATTTGGCAGTGCCGATTGGCAGTTTGGTCACACCGCGCTGGATCGGTGAGATGTTTTACCTGGACTGGGCCCAGCTCTGGTACACATAGTTTGGCTGAGACCTGACTGACCGGCCGGGCGCATCTACCGTGTGGTGTCCGCGGTGACGGGTTAGATGGGTACAGCGACATGGCTGCGCCGGGGAAGCTCTGGTTATAGCGACACGGCAAGGACAGTACGAAACTTGGCCGGGTTACGGAAGGAAGCCGAGAGCGACCCCTGTCCAACTTGTGACGGGAGGTTGGCTCGGTTTTGTCAGTTCTGGGCTCCGGCAACCCCGGTCCCAGCTTCAGCTCTTGCTCTAGACATGTCTGAAGCTACAGACCAAGCTCCCATCACTCGGTCGGGCGCACCAAAGTGGCATGCATGTACCGCAGAGCGCTGTCGGCTGGCGGTCGTTTCCACACTTGTCGCCTTCGATCCTATTCTGTCAGCCACACTTTCTGTAGTGCGGCTGAATGGCGCCGGCTAGCGTGACCATGTTTGTTTGTGATGTTATCTCTGCTGTCAACACTGGCGCCGTCATGTGGACACGTTTCTTGCATCGTTCGTGAGCTGTGAATGGACGTCATGTACGGTTTGGATGTTCCCCACGGAGTATATTGCCGAAAGCCTGTCGCTGACGGTAACGACATAGTGAGCCGCTTTGGAGCGATACAACACTGCTGCCAGAACGGCATCTCAATGGTGTAGCAGATTATCACGTAACTGTTCGAGCTGCTAAGCACTCGATTTATGCTACCTCACTAGCTGTATTTCGGTGGGAGAACATTGTAACCGAAGGTTTGTTGTCAATAGTTAAAAGTAGTAAACACTATTCTTTAGAATTGTGTTTTTCTATTGAAAAAACAAATCTGAGTTCCCTGACAATTTGGCAAATAAGCTTTGAGGAATTGCGTGAGCGACGTTTATGTGCTCAGAATCGACTGAAACATTCTCTTTGAGTTTATTTGAGTTAATTGTACCCAAAGTTTGGTTATGGCTCGTTTAAGAAGTGCAATAAAACTGGCCATAAAAGTGGGTACTTGAAGTAACGGTTGAACTGACTGGACAGCTTTGTTTCCCTGCCCTGTTTGCCAGATGTCAGGCATGTTGACTCACGGTCCTTTTTACTTACTGAAAATAGCAGTATTTGAATAAGATAAGGAAATGGTCGGCGCCGCACATTACCGTGATATGACGTTAACAAAAATGTCAACATCAAGTACGAGCGAAGCAAATTTGACGATCAAATGATTGAAAACTGCGATTGATCCATGAACTTTTGCTCTTTGCCCTTTTGCTTACATTGAACGTTTTGTGGGAGAGGCCCAGACTGCTTTTTATTCTGTTTGTCCTTCCATCTAACGGCGACGTCCGAAACATAGCTTCTTCTTGAGAGCTAATGGGTAGCTCGTTATGCATTTATTTTTAACCACCTTGCACCTGCCTCCGCATAAGCTTCAACTAATGACCCACGCATTGTATTCAAGAGGTCATTAGTGCTGTACTTGTATAAAATATGATAAAGTGTGCATGTTATTGGCACAGCTCTGGCTTACAACAAACCAGTTACAAGAAGCCGAGGAAAGCAGCTAAAAGCGTCCATGGTCGATAGGGAAGAATACGAGATGTTTGCACGAAGTAGCCGTCACTGCTCGAAAACAACCCGCAGTTTTTGCGTTTGAATCCAGGATATTATTGCTATTTCGGTTCACTATCCTGAAATGTGGCCATGTTTTGTCATTTTTCCTGTCTTAGTTTAGATGTTTAAAAGGAGTTTCGTCCTTGATGGTCGCCTGCGATTTATATAACGATTTATTTCACAATTCGGATGACTCACAGAGTCCCACAGATGACACGTTACTTCCTGGCTGCTACTGAGGTAGCCGAGACTGGGCTGTTGTTTGCGAGGCTTCTATAAGGAATCTGTGAGACAGAACGACCACTCGCTAATAGCGAAGACGCACAAGCAGGTTATCGACTGACCTTAGGAACATCTTTTGCTGACTCTGAGCTGAGGTTAAGACGGAGAATGAATGCTTCAGCCGCAAGCAACGAACATGCGCCGGGTGTGTGACCGTTCTGGTGTCGCTAGGTGTCGAGAGGCATACAAAGTCAAAGTTACCTGACTTGACTTGACCTGACCTGACCTACCTGACCTGACCTGACCTGACCTGACCTGACCTGACCTGACGGGACGTGTTGCAGTGGACGTCGCACTGTTCTGACCTGCCCTGCCCTGCCCAGACCCTGCCCTGACCTGACCTGTTGCAGGCTGCAGACGGCGTTACACTGTTCTGACCTGCCCTGACCTGACCTGACCTGTTGCAGACGGCGCTACACTGGGCGGCCAAAAACGGTAACCTGGACGTCATCAAGCTGATCGCCGGTACCCACGGTGTAGACGTCGACTCGGCGTCGGTGAGTTCCTCCGGTCGGCGCCGAGCAGCACATCCGTAAGATGCGGTCTAGTCCATGCCCGTTCTACTCATGATCAACTGCTTCCTCCCCAGTCACAGCGCATAACATGCAGTATGGTTCCCCGTCGCCACGGACAACACAGCACAGCACAACCTCTGCATCGCGACGCATGGTAGGTACTTACAACATGGAACATAGCTTCCCACCACGAGAAATGGGCGCAATACGGCACAGTACAGCTTCCCTCCGCCATAGCGCACATCACATCTCAGTAATCTTCTCCCTGCACATACACCACGCACCACGTGGTTCGATTCGACCGTCGCTTGCGGGACACGCGACTCGCCGTCCGCCCGGCCGATATGTTATTCAGACGCCGGCCTTTCCAAGTCAAATGGGCTGCGGACGGAGCGTGGCTGGCCGCGCGGCCCACTGCTATTATCACCTGCACTGCATCGGCTTGCATAGAGAGCGGCCTGGCGGGCTGTCGGGACAGCCGGCCGGGGGTGTCGGGACGGCGACCGCTCTCCCGGGGATACCGCACTGATGTCCAGACGGGTTTTGCGGTAAGGGCCGCACGGTGTCGAGCGCTATCTCGCTGTACCAGATTGACGCGTTGGCCTCGACTGTAAACAGAGAGTTGAACGCTGGCGGAAGTGAATAGGGGGTTAATGGCAGTTGTTTCGTACTTGTTCTGTCATAGGGTTTTTATGAAATGAACGGAGTGAGAGCTACGACCCCGTGTTCCTCCCCCCTCGCAGCCTGCGCTTCGTGGATGCCTCACGCCGAATTGTTTCTCTGTTCCATGCGCCGCCGCTGCTGTTCTCATTGCTGCTGCTGGTACTGCTGCTGCCGTCGATTTTGCCGTCGCTGCTGCCGCTGCTATCTTCAGCACGGGGTAAGTGTGACTCGTCGCCCTCTTCTGACTGGGTTTGACGTTTGTCTTGTCTGTGACCTGTCCGCTGTGTGTGGTTTGTTCGGTGTCACACTCGACGACCGCTGCCGAACCCGACGGGGCTGTGGGTAAGGCAGAAGGCTCGTGAAACATAGAGCTGGTTTGTGACGGCCATAAGTTACACCCACGGATAACAGGGCCAGGAATCCATCGGCACTGAGCGGCCGTCCCTACCGGCCCTGGCCGTCCAGACCACAGTACTGTACCGCCCCTGCCATCTTTTGGCCGCCCGCCGAACTAGTCTGAACCTCTACTCGTAGAGGCACGTGATTCGGCTGGATGATATACGGTGTCGTGCCGTAAATGGCCGACGGCGTGTCTCATTGAATAGGAGACGATAGGACGACGGGTCGTACTGTTTTGTCTCTCTTGAATCGCTGTGGAATGGCTGCCAAAGGCATGCGCGAGACTTCTTGCTCTGTCGAATTGGGCGAGGAGTGATGAATGAGTAGGTAATTGACATCATTTGGAGCTAAGAAAGACGATGCCGAACCAGTGCCAACAAGAACATTATTTGAAAATACCAACACAAAAGTGATTTTCTTTCGATATTGTTGCATGTACCTTTTAGCGAAGATGACTATTATCATTAGTTGATGAGGTGGGTCCCTCGAGCGTTGCTCAAGTGCTCATTTTTAAAGTACTGGACTTATCGGGTTACTGGCAAAGTCTGATAGTCTGTTTTCTTTTATTTGCATCTATGCATTGCATTCTTGTTCTGCTTTTAAACTGATAACTGAAAAGCCTGGAACAGCACTAAAGTAACAAGCGATCTTTCTTCGAGTTTTCATTTATTTACAGGACGCTGGCATTGACGATATCAAAGTAGCCAAACCGTACACTTTTCGGTAAAGCTGACCGCCTTGCGCTACGGTTTGGTTATGCTATCGTTACTTTTGGAGGTGTTTACGTTTAATTTCGGACAATGGATTGACAGTCGGTCATAACATGTTCCGGTGCGATGGAAAAGGGTCAGACGGGGTCCTCTGCAACTGTGTTTATTCCTGCGGTTTTTGCATAAACTTCCTCGTTTTGCGCTGCGCGGTGCTGTCAGGGGTGTGAGTGACGGATCTTCACGGCGCTAGAACGGCTGACGACAGCGCCGCTGGTGGCGTCAGCACCGGGAGCTGCGCGCTGACACTGACTCACGGATGGAACTCACGGACGCCGACTCACGGACGGCCTCATAGATGGGCATCACGGACTGACCAGCGACCGTACAAACAGGACCTTACGGACGGTGTCTCACGACCGGACTTAACGGACAAATCTCACGGATGGAGAGTCTCGGACTGACGAGTCGCCATACGAACAGGACCTCATGGACCGTGTCTTACGACCGAACCTCACCGACAAGTTTCTGGGACTGACTTCACAGACTAGTTCCCGGACAGAGGGTCACTACTGGACCTCACGAACAAATATCACGGACGGTGGGGCACGGATGGAAGGTCTGTCACGGTAACAGGCTCGCTGTGTAGTCTGTAGACGCTAGTTTAGGTGTCCTTTAGTCTCCAGTGGAAGAGGTGACGCAGTTTAGGTATCTAGCTCTGCTTTTTTCTGTTCGCGATGACCTGACTACAAGAAACCCGCTAGGCTGGTATGTACTGGATGGCGCCGGACTGGGCAGACTTGCCTCTACATTTGTATCCCTGGCAGCGTTTCAATCACTATCTCACCCTCTCTTTCTCTTTCTCTCCGTCTCTGTTTGTGCCTCTCTCAGTGTCTCCTCACGTCAGTCGCGATTCCCGATAACATTGTCTCCCGTCGCGGGCACGTGCCGTATGTACGCGCACTGCATCTGCAAAGGTGCGAGGTCCACTCGTCGCCAGTACCAAGCTGTCCGTCTGTCTGTTTGCCTGTCTTTGGCCTCTTGCACCCTCTTCCTCCCCATCAGAGCCGTCTTCTGTCTGTGTTATCGCCGTCTACCGTTCATATTAGCGCCTCCCGATATTTCCATAGCAATGATTCCATTGGCTGATAGCTCGGCTAACTAGGTGCCGCTACACGTCTGACGATGGAGATGACACTAACGCTCACCATCGCTCGTCATAGCAATTCCGCTGTTCTCGCTCGCTTTTTTAAAGTGGATCTCCCGGTATGAAGTCTGTCCTCCGCCCTGTCTTAATTCTCCCCCTCTCACAGTCCGAAGTATGTCCCCTCCCCGTCCCTATCTGTGATGTTCTTCTTGCTTGCGGTCTGAAGTCTGACGTTCCAGCTCCCATTGTGTGCCCCAGGGTTACACCCCGCTGACCCTGCTCAGTACTGCAGTCTGGCAGAGTAGTCTGACCCCGCTCAGTTCTGCAGTCTGGCAGAGCAGTCTGACCCCGCTCAGTTCTGCAGTCTGACAGAGCAGTCTGACCCCACTCCCTCTCTGTACCCCAGGGCTACACCCCGCTGACCCTGCTCAATTCTGCAGTCTGACAGGGCAGTCTGACCCTGCTCAGTTTGCAGTCTGACAGAGCAGTCTGACCCCGCTGCCCTCTCTGTGCTGTAAGGCTACACCCCGCTGACCCTGCTCAGTTCTGCAGTCTGACCCCGCTCCCTCTCTGTGCCGCAGGGCTACACTCCGCTGCATGTCGCCATGCAGTACGGCCACGAGGATGTGTTTGACCTACTGGTGCACACTTACGGTGAGTAGGCTTATGATGTACTCGGCCCACGGGTGTACAGTACACTGTACACAATATACATTACACATACGGTGAGTGAATGCGTTTTTGTTCGACCTACTGGTGCACACATACGATGAGTGTAGGCGTTTGACCTACTGACGCACACTTATGGTGTGTTTGAGACTATCGACGGCGCTCAGTGAGCACCAGCCGGGAGGGGACCTTGGTCTGACGGTGGCGCCCCATGAGGATCCCTACGCATCTGCCGGGAGGAAACCGCCCTTCGGTCTAGGGGACTGTCAGCTGCTGCCCCTGTGGGTCAATAAGCCCATTCGCACGTGATATGTATGTTCGCGGCAGTCCATTGACCCCTACATTCGACTGCGGCTGATCTGAGCTGTGGCTTGACTGACAGGTCTGTGTGCCTGGATATATGGCGGGACAGGTGATGGCCGAATTTATCTGGGACGCTCGCAGTCGTTGGGTCTCGGTCAGCAGTGTTCCATGGACCCTCGTAACGACCGTGCAGTGCTCGGCACTGACTCCATCCGCATTACCTCGTGATGCCATGTGTCCAGTCTGTCTGTCATCGGAATGTGTCAGATGACCTGTCAAAACACCCGGCCGACGTCTGGCGTATGTCGTAGCGCGGCTGGTCGGCCTGGTGGGCACGAGCCAGACCCGCCTCCGGCCGTGCGGCTTCCTCTCACAGACTATGAGCTATAGGTCACCAGGTCACCGCCCCCGGGGATCTCATCCTGACCTCCAGGTGTCGGCTTCGTCCAGAGAATCAGGGTTTCGTCTGTATTCTCCCTTAGGTCTCTCCGTGGTCCTGTATGGTGTGGTGTGTTTAGCTCCTATGGCTTGTATTCAAGCCACTGTTCAAAGCTCAGTCTACAGTATCTGTCGACGAGATCGGTCAGTGACTACATATCAGAAGGTCTGTTGGAACCAGCGTTAGATGCCAGTAGATCCCACCAGAGGCTCGCCCATGCATTTCGATACTATCTGTCGTCGATGCATCATGCATTTCGCTACTTGTCTGTCGCCGTCTGTGACCGGACCTTTCGCGACCCTCCGTGGCCCTCTGTGACTCGATGAGGCGCTGGTCCCGGCGTCCCGGTACGGCTGGGTGGTCCCGCCCCGCAGTGGTTCCGCTGGTGGTCCCGCCCCGCAGCGGTTCCGCCGGTGGTTCCGCCGGTGGTCCGCTGGTGGTCCGTCGTTCCGGTTGTCCTGCCACGCTCCACTGGCCCTCTGCACGGACCAGGGACCGCTGTCGCCGCCGGCGCCGACCGACGGGGGCCGATGCTGATCTCAGCCTCCCCAGTGACCCAATCCATGTCCTCCTCTGGCTGCGCCCCCTTCGACCCGCGCCCCCTTCGGTCGACTCATCGTAAAGGGACAAGCTCTAACTCAAAGCTCGACGCACAGTAGAAACGACGACGTGTCCTGCCAGACGCTTCTCCTTTTCAAGCTGAAATGGAGGTTTGTTCAATCGCTGGAGTCTGGTGTGTTTTAGGGGGTTTGGGCTGCCGGACGGATGTCGAGCCGAGTTTATTTAGCGCCGCGTCGCGCCACCCAGCGTCGCCGCCGTGGAGACCGGCGTGTCCATAAACTGTGACCGTTGGCGGCGGGCGCGCGCCACGCGACAAACAGTCGCCGGCGCCGACGGCCGGTGATAAGGAGCCCGTCACTGGGGGACGCTCTGGAAACGCCCGCTGACCACGCGGCGCTCCGTTTACATGCAGCTGTCACCGGCTGTATATTGGGACTCCTCATCCATTGAAAACCAGCCTCCGTCAGGAGCTGGCCGGAAAATAACAGAACTGATGACTGAATGAATGATTTCCGCCTTCGGAAGCCACCTCTGTTCGTGTACGAACACATTTGACATTGCCGATTTCATTTTATGTTGATGAACATTATGGACCGGTTACCGTGGTGTCATTTTTCAACACAGTGATATTACTAATGATGCTCAAGCATGCCTTTGCTTACATCCAACGACCAAGTGTATCCTGACCAATATTGTGATTTTTTGTAGATGAATATCGTCAATGTTGTAAGTACCCTTGACTGTGTGAGTCCTTCACATGTGTACGAAAAGGTCTTATGTCATCGCTCCCCCCCCCCCCCCCCTCCCTCCCTCCAACTCTATCCGCTTTGTTTGCGGCTCATCCATCCACCTGTTAGAGACATGCAGTGACCGCCCGTCCCCTCTCCGTCAGGCGCCGACCCAAACGTGCGCGACCACAGCGGCAAGAAGCCGCGCCAGTACATGATTCGCGAGGAGACCACGCTGTCATCAGAGGCGTTTAGGAGTAAGTACGGCGCGCCGCCCTCTCCGCTGGTACCTCCGACCCCTCCGCCGGCGCTCAGCAGCCCCGCACTGCCGCCGGTGCTGCCGCCGGTGCTGCGTCCGGTGCCGCGTCCCGCGCCGGTCCCGTACCGGCAGCCGGGCCCGCAGCCGCTGCCGGCGCCGCCGCCGCCCGGCTACCTGGAGGCTCGCCGGCGGAGGCACCAGGGCGGTGGTGTGGTGCTGCTCGCTCGGCCGCGCCGTCTGGAGCGAGACGGTCGCGACGAGCAGTCGGCAGAGCTGGAGCCGGCGCCGCGGCCCCGCTCCAGCAGTGCCGGGGGGAAGGCGGCGCTCGGCTGGAAGGGGAGACTCCGGGAGAGTTTCCGCGGCGGCTCGCGGGCCCGCACGGCGCCGCAGAGGGCCTCGCTGCCGCCGCCTGATGAGCTAGTCGAGATGCAGGAGTGAGGGGCGGGGGATGTATCTGGGGTCTGACAGGGAGCTCTGGCCTGTATGTTAGGGTTAGAGATTGTTATCCTACCTTCGGTGGGCTTGATAGGGTTTGGGTACCCAGTGTCTTCTGGGTATGACTACTTTTGGGCTGCTAATCACTCCCTACGATGCGTCTAAAACACTGCTGGCTTCTCGCTCATCTCCAGCTGCATTGGAAGTGCAGGACGTTGATCTCTAAATAGTTCGAGTTTAATCTGCTTATCATAAGTGTGCGTGTACCGCGTCTCTTGGACATTTGGCCTTACTGGGTTATTTTATCGAGCTTGTTTAATCTTGTGTCTATTCAACTTGTTTATGTTTTACCAATTAGCGCTAGTCTTGTTTTGAGTCCAGTGTTAGGGGATGCATAATCAATGGCCATTGGCCAATGGCCATGGCGTTATATCATTCGATTAGACATTGCCAACGACCAACAGTGCCTATCGGTATTAAGTATATACTATATAGTGTGACGTCGACGTTTTAATGCCTGCTATCTTAACATCAATATGCCAATTACCTTGCTGGCTTTACGATTCCCTATGGACTTTCAACGAATGTGTTCTTACCTGATTTGAGTGTAGATTGTAGGTTATTTTGTGTTACCAGATATAATCAGTATTAGATGCTAGCGAACTCAATTACCAAGTTGGTCTAACATTGCATGCGGTTGATCATAGACTTCTTAGCCATATGGTGGTGGGCTAGCGTACTCAGTGATTATAACAATGTACGAATTTGATACAGCCAATGTTGTGACTCGAGTGTTCTGTACCTTTATCTGTGTACTATGCCTGTGTCAGCGGTATAAGTCGCTGCGTGTCTGCGGTACTGGTTGACTTCGCTGTTAGTAATCAGTTGTTAGGTGACCGATCCGTGTTCACTGCTCTGCTAACGGCCGGGCTCCCTTACCTGTAACATTGCGCCCTGCAATGCTGCCGATGTGCACTGCATGCTGCTGGGGTCAGGGCGAGGGACGGGCACCCACACTGACAGACGGACGGACGGATGGACTGATGGTTCGCGGGCTTCTTTTCTTTTTGATTTGCCAATGGACTGGCTGGGTTACAATCTAAGCTGACTGACTGAAGCTAATTGGCCTAACCGGGTGACTGATGGAGTAACTGACTGGCTGATGGGCTGAGTGACTGATAAAATGTGACGGCTCTCTCGACTGGGCTGCGGTGCGGGTCTCCATGGCTGAGTGTGGTGGGACTGTGCGGGTACTGAACGCACCCGGTACCACACGCTCTGGTACATCCCACAAGCGGTGGACGCCGCAGCTGCACCGGCCCCAAGCCCCTGTACCATTGATGCCCGCACTGCAGTGCCAGCCCCCTGCCGGTCACCCCGCACGGGCCTGTCTGCCTCCCATACTCTGTTCCCTTGTATATTATGCACTAATACATGTTGACTGGCCTAACTAGCTCGCTGACTGGGTGATGGTCGGTGCTGGCTGCACGTAGTGCTCTGCATGCTCGGTAGAGGCACTGCCCTGCACGGGAGGAGGGCGGGACGCCCTGGCCAGGTAGGTGGCTCTGTCGGAGATCCGACAAGTGGCAACACAATGCAGTGTGCTATAGCGCTGGCCAGCGTTAACGCTGTGTTCTTGTATAGCACAGCTCTGCTGTATCATAGCACCGCGAGTTTTTTGTTCATTATGTTTTTATTTGAGCCTGCCCTTAACAACTTATTTTGTATTTGTAGCCCTTGCATTGCTTGCAGTGCGTGCTTTGTATCTTGGCTGCCGGTAGTTTAACAGCAGTGGCACGGCCACGGGTATCAACTAACCTCACAACAAGACTGCCACTCTTTTCAGGGCACTCTACTGGCGTTTATATCGATAGCTCGTCTAATATTTCAAACTTTTTTTTGATGTGATGCTCTGCTAATTTTAAAATTGATTCTCGTGATGCTCTAACCTCTTTGTTTCTATTCCAGAAATTAAGAAGAAACGCCATGGTAGTAAGATGCACCTGGGTAAGTGCTCTTTCAACTTAGAAGCTAGAAACGTAATTTGCATTTAGTTGATGGTCATTGAGTTATATTTGATTTTTCAAAAATGTTATCACGTTGACGTTTTTTTGTAACACTACGTAGACTGTTGATAAAATATTGTATTTGTTTCCCTAGCTGGCCTGGTGCAGTACAACTGTGTGTATTTCGGTGACGGCCCGCTTTCCCTCCCCCCTCCCCGAACTGCACCCGCTCTGTCACGTGACCCATCACCTGCGTCTCCGTCCCTCAGGCGACAAGGACAACAGCTTCCTGCGGATCGGCTCTCTGAACGTGCGGGTCAAGAAGACGACCGAGGCGTTCAACAGTCTCATCAGCACCGGCCTGCAGATGGGCGACCGGCTGCACGGCCGATTCGGCTCCTCAGACAGCGTCAATGACGTGAGTGGGTAGGATAGAGTCGTCAGATACCGACCGTAGTTAGTCGTTCGCGCGGTAGTCCCTTTTGCTCACCGCTGTCCCGACAGCGAACTGGGGAGGCTAGGTATAGGCGGTATACCGTATGGAGAGGTCCAGAATGAGTAAGTCGTGCTACCTCTTGCATTTATTACTGCGAACAAAATCTGGAATTAGTCCGATTTTATTCCAGTCGCTGTTCCGTTGAACTGACATGCTCTGACCGGATCTTACTTTTCCACAGGCGGAGCGCGAGTTGATGCCACCACCCAAGTTCAGCATCAAGAAGCGCAAGTCCAAGAAGCCGCAGGACTTCCAGAACCTCAAGTCGCGGATCTCGGCTCCGATTCTGCAGCCGGGCGGCGGCCTGCCGATGGACGGCGGCGGCGGCGGCAGTCCGGGCCTGGGGCTGAGTCCCGGCCTGCCCGGCGCCCACCCGCTACCGCCCGACGCGCGCAGACACTCGGAGGCCGACCTGTCGCGCATCTCGGCCGCCGAGGACGCCATCAGCCAGGGCGGCTCGCTGCGCGGCGACGACTCCGACTCCGACTACGGCTTCGGCTCCGGCTGGGCCGGCTAGGCTCGCCTCTGGCTGGGCCGCCTGGGACTGCGCCGGCCGCGACCCGACCCGGCGAGCGGCAGCCGCGCTCGGCGGTAGGCGGCGCTGCAGTCGGACATAGGTGGCGCTGGTGTGCCACGCGGCGAGACTGCCGGGCTGGCGATACGGCGGCAGAGGCAGGGCAAGGCCATCTCTGTGAGGTGATCTATTGCTAGCTGTGCGAAATGGAGCCCCGGACCTGGCAATCGGCGGAAAACTACATAACTTGCCTCTGACAGGTGCATCAGACGAGAATAAGATACGCAACGAATGGATGTGAAGTACTTTACGGTTGTATTGTTAACTTATTGTGTGGGAGCGTGTCATTGTTATGCACGTTTATGGTTGTTTTTAGGTTGTATTAATGGCGCACTCGCACTGTTGCTCTCAGCGCCCAATGCTGGTTGCTGCCAGGCATGGTTAAGGATGTGATGTATTGAGAGATTTAGATGATATGTGATGAATCGCGTGGATTGTATCGGTGCAATTTCAATGAGCGCCGCTTCCCTTCAGTGTTGCATTCCTCATTTTACACGCATTTTGCTGCGCTCTGATATTGGGATGCCTCTTGGTAAATCACCTCAAAGCTCGCCGGCTGATTGCCCAACACTAAACAGCCGAACTGACGCGAGACGAACGCCTCACTGGGCGTGTGTATCGGTCCTTTTTATTGCTCTGTCCCGGGAGGCTGATGAAATCCCCGCCTTTGTGCTCTGATTTGATCACTTGGCTGGTGCCATTTCTTCACAAGATAATAATCGCATCCTGGCCTTTGAATGCGTGTATGAATGTATCGCTTCTTTTGTTGCAATGAAACTAGATGAATGCTTGAAGGTTATGTGCACTTTTTCGTAAGGGTACTTTTTGTAATAACGCTCGCTTGGTACATCGATATATGCCGGCTATTGAAAACCGCTTTCAAAGGCGAACATGTCTTTAGAACGCGTATTACATTTTCCAAACGGCGCCGGATCTTAAGTCCGCTGCAACCAGCCACAAGCTAACTTGGGCTGCGATGCTGTTTTTCCCATGGGGTATTTCCCTTAATTTCATAGTGCAGTCGCCTGTTCCAGGGAGGTCAATCTGCTCTGCTGGTGATCGCCTTTTCTAGAAACACCCGACCACCTAGCTGCTAGGGTTTCAATAGATTCTCCCCAATTCCCAGAGACGCCGGGGCTTTGTAATTCGCTGATTGAATGTCCGTCCAGTGCAATGTCAATCTATGCTCCTTCAGAAAATGTATTATAAAACGAATAGCATCGCGTTTAGTTCGCTTTGGTAAAGTAGGTACAAATGAAGTAGCAGGAACGCATTAGTTTGCCTTTGCATCGATAACATGATCACTGATCATATGTTCTCGAGTGAATTGTCTGCCTTTGAAGCGCGATGTGCCTTGCTATATGTGTCGTCCGGAACACACCGACAACTGGGGGCTAGCTGACCCACTATATATTTGTCGTCGGGAGCATACCCGGCTACTGGGGGCTGGTAGCTACCTGCTCAGACACACTGCTGCAGCGCTGTGCTGAGGGTAGCACCGGTCGGTCGGGACTGCCCCTGTGACCGCTCCTCCGTCATACTCCGCCCGGCCAACCAGTGGCCTGTGTTCGGAATGGACGGGTCTCTGCGAGAGGGCGTAGGGGGCTGGTGTCTTCGTATCACTCTCTCTCTCTCTCTCTCTCTCTCTCTCTCTCTCTCTCTCTCTCTCTCTCTCTCTCTCTCTCTCTCTCTCTCTCTCTCTCTCTCTCTCTCTCTCTCTCTCTCTCTCTCTCTCCCTCTCCCTCTCCCTCTCCTCCCTCTCCCTCTCCTCTCCCTCTCCCTCTCCCTCTCCCTCTCCCTCTCCCTCTCCCTCTCCCTCTCCCTCTCCCTCTCCCTCTCCCTCTCCCTCTCCCTCTCCCTCTCCTCTCCCTCTCCCTCTCCCTCTCCCTCTCCCTCTCCCTCTCCCTCTCCCTCTCCCTCTCCCTCTCCCTCTCTCTCTCTCTCTCTCTCTCTCTCTCTCTCCCTCTCCCTCTCCCTCTCCTCTCTCTCTCTCTCTCTCTCTCCCCCCCCCTCTCTCTCTCTCTCTCTCTCTCTCTCTCTCTCTCTCTCTTCATCGCCACATTCCTCTCCCGTTTCCCTTCCTCTAACTCTACCTTCACTCTCTCTCCCCTCACTCAGTCACTCACTCATTCACCATCTGCATCTTCCATTCCCAGAGAGTCTCCATGCCTTCCGTCCATGGTTGTGTAGAAGTGCTGGTAGACGCCTTTCACATAGTGTTTCCTGTATGAATTGTCCGATGTACTATATGTGAATCTCTCGAGTCACTTAGTGACGTGTTAATACAACGTACACACACTGTCACTGTGGTATGGAATGATCGGATTGGAGAGCGTCACTGAACCCTTGAGCAGTGTTTATATGGATAAGCCTGTTGGTTTGTTAGGTAATGAGCGGCCCGAGGGAAGAGTTCGTCGCTGATTTGTTCAAATGACAGGTGTTGGCTGGGGTGACGGCACCGGCTTACGGCTACGGTTAGTCGATTTGCCTAGGGAAAAGACCCGCGGTGTCACCAGACGCCAACTGATGATTGCTACGAACTCAGGGGGGGGGGGGGCATTTCCCCGCGGTGGACGCGCTGGAACAATTGGATGGTTAATGTCGACAGCGGAGCCGGCGGTGGCCGTCCGAGGCTGCGTGCTGGTTGTCTGAGTGTTACTCGCAACAGTGTGGGATTGCTGGGTGAATGTTCCGCAGCAGACGGCTGAGGCACTGGCTTATGCGTCAGTATCTACTTACTGATGGAATGATCGCAGCCACAGATGCAGCGCCCATCCTGTTAATTATCCTAACGACCTTGCGGTGTCGTTAACCGTCGCTGAGGAGCCTCTGTCGTGTCCGTCGCCGCAGGATTTGTCCCGTCCCATCTCCGGCGGTGGAAAGACGGCTCGCCGGGCCTGTTACTGCCCGCAGAACCGCTCCACTCAGCGCCGAGGGCGCTTGTCGCTCCCAACCTGCGGCCCTCAGCGGAATCTGACTCGCCGCTGCTGAAACGGCATCAGATTTTTTTCCTTTGTAAATTGAAATAGTCACGATCCGTCGCCGTTGTTGCTTCAAGAAACGATTTGAAGACGTGCAGTTTAGACGGCCTGCGGCGGGGATGGCGCTTCTCCGTTGGGATAAATGGGGCATTAGGCGGTAAATGAGATGCGCCAGAGGGTTTATGACCTCGCATTACTACCGTCATTGATGGGAGCGGCAGTTCATTTTCGTTTGAAGCTAATGAGCTGCGTTATGACTTAAAGATCAATATATTATCGTAACGTCGGTGTCATAAATTTATTGTAGCCCATTTTAGCGTCAATGGTGTCAGCGGGAGCAGAAACAACCACGAATGGGCAGCGATTTTTCAATGTCTGGGAACCAGGAGCCGATGCTGAAAAAAGGCATTGCAAGCTCTGTACGTATTGCAAGCTTTGTAAACAAGAATATGTTTTAAAAGATAAAAGGAATGCACTGGCGTTTTCCCAGCCGCCGACGCATAGCTGGAGGGGTCCGGTACTCCCCCCCCCCTCCTCCCCAGCCGTTCGGCCCCTGGTGGAGCTAGAGGCTAGAGCTTCGCGAAAAAAAAAAAACGGAACGTGCTACCTGTGACGAAGTGAAGCCGATGGCACGCAGTTTTTAGGTCTTAGCTCTTTTTTTACCTTCTAGGTTAGGTCAATGAACCAAAAGTAAAAAAGAAAAAAACGGGACTTGCCAGAACTTCTCAAGGTGATGTCATGTTTCTTTTTTAGTTCGGATTTTGAATTACATATTCGTTTTGAGCAAAGATGATATATTCATGCTTTTGGGATAGGTCGGGTCAGGTCAGGTCAACCAGTAGGCGTCCAGCCGGCTACGGTGTTAAGCACCACTGACAGCTTTGTAATATGTTTCATGGGCGCCCAAACCACTTGTTGAATGTTTACTAAGGTGCTGTAAATTAGAAATAGGCTTCAAAGTTCCCAAAAATTGGAACGGCTTTTCGGGAAAAGGGACCGAAGGGACAAACCTTGCCCAGTGCCTAGTGCCCACCCAATGCCTCTCGGACGCCGACAGTCGCCGCTTGGAACTCATTTCGTCCCCGTCAGCGGGGACCAGCGGTCATTTTGAGAGACGGGACAGGCGACTGTCACAGACGGCCGCTACGTCATACTGATAAATCCTCCACAGCGCCGACCGCTCCTCTAATTGACTGACAGTAAATTTATCGGACCTGCAAGGCCATCGAAGTGATCTCCGACATTGCCGAGAAGGGCATCCAACCCGGAGTGAACTATGAGTCATACGTCAAATGCTATAACAATGTCATAAAGCTGATCGGGTCAGGAGACATCCTAATATCATTGCCCTTGTAGCTCTAGCTATAAATAACTGTCATTGGCCGTGGGGATGGAGCTGACCAGGGCTGCGGAGTCGGAGTCGGAGTCGGAGTCGGTCGGAGTCGACAGTTGTGACCGGAGTCGGAGTCGGAGTCACCGAAAATCTGTCGACTCCGCAGCCCTGCTAGGTCTGCGGAGTCGGAGTCGGGAGTTGGAGTCGGTCGGAGTCGACAATTCTGCCCAGAGTCGGAGTCGGAGTCGGAGCTGGTTTTTGAAAGCCGGAGTCGGAGTCGGAGTGGGAGTCGCCGAAAATCCATCACGAAGCTATCATTTTTATCTCGCGGCTTCGCGACGACGCTCCCACTTTTTAGATAAAATCTGTTTTGTTTTTTCATTGCAACGTTTTTTTTAGAGCCGGCGGTACTGAGGATCGAGCCCGGGTTCTCCCGATTTCCAAAGTGTTGTATTTACTACATAACAACCAGTAGACAGTAGTGTTAACCCTCGCCCGCACATGGGGGTTGGGTGGTTGCCACCCCCCCCCCCCCCCAGGTAGTCTTTCTGCTCTGCACTCGACATTTTTAGAGCTAGAAGGCTGATTTTTCGTATAACTGCTCCTCTATCCTTTCTTGATGTCCACTGAAAATTTCAAGTTTCTGAGATTTTTGGTTTCGGAGATATGACCTTGTTTTTCAGGTCATGTCATGACCCAAATGGCCAATTCTCAACATCTTGCGTTTGCTATGGGCCTTGTGAGCTTTTGACACCTTGATTTCGGCCTTTTTTGCCAGTGTTGCCTCCCACCTATCATGGAACATGTTGTTCGACGATGTATTGGTGTCAAGGTCAGGGTCAAGGTCAACCTAGGTCATCTAAGATAATTGCGTTTTAGGCAAGCTTAATTTACTTTTTGTGGAGTTTTTTGACTTTATTTTTTGTAAAAGCTTCTCAGATCATGATTTCATGTAATATGGACACATAAACAGTCGGTGCACACATCAGAATACACACAGACACACACAGACATACAAACACATGTAATTGACCTTGACCTAGCTTGACCTGAAATGACCTCAGCAGCAAAAATCTGGTCGGGTAGTGTGACAACGAGGTTCTAGCTGGCTTGGCACCAGAAAACGGCATCGTCATCGGTATATGATAAGCAGCGCACTTGATATCCAACGGTGACCCAAAACAGCAACATTTTTTAGTTTGACCTGACCCGGAAGGTCAATGACTGACCTGAGAAGGTAAAACTGGGTATCATTGGATTCTTCTCTTCCCAAAGAATCTTTTTGGTCTTTACCGCTAAGCTCTATCTCCAACAGGAACGAAATGACGCGGGGGGGGGGTGTGGCAACCACCCCCCCCCCCCCCATGTGCGCTCTAGGATGGGAAAATGGCATGTGCGGGCGAGGGTTAAGTGTAACAATATAGGTATGTGCGAGTTGGCACCCTTAAATACCTTTGCTGTGTATAGGCATTGGATTCCAGTGCTGATTGTTCT